TGTGTGTGTGTGTGTGTGTGTGTGTGTGTATGTGTGTTGGGGGATCAGAGAAAAGTCACGATTTTTTCCCTCTCTACTCTGTACAGAGAAACCTCTGAAGCAAGTCTATGAGATTTCCTCATAATTGTTGCTTCATTCATTTCTCTTTTCCTAGGGACCATGGTGGAAGAAAATCAATAACCATACAAAAAGCAGAACCCTCACTGTCAACGAGTCTATGCTGACTTATAGAGCCCCTGTAGGACAGGGGAGCCTCTGGAGATTTCTGAAACTCTCACTCTTTCCACCTGCTGGCCTGACAGTTAGCAGCCAAATGTGTACACACCAATGCACCAGGGCTCCCCCTAATCCCAATCAGTCATATCTTAATACTCCACGTAGGAGGAAACAACGTAATTACAGACAATAATAACAAAACCCTGCTCCTCTAACTTATATTCTACTTTGGTGGAATTTGCAAACCTAATGTCTTATATTCAGTTGCAAAAGTGCTCCCCAGCCTCAAGCCATTGTTCACACTGCCGAAGAGGCAGCTTTCCAAAAGATAAGTCTACTCGTGCCAGTTTCCTGCTTAGAGATCCAGTGAGTCTCCATTCTTCAAAAATGTAGCCTCAAGTGGATGACAGGAATGATCCTTTTACAATGTGACCATGTCGACTTCCCAAGCCTTTCTCCAGATGACAGCCTCCATGCCCCTACACTTCCTCGACGGCATGCTTTCTATGGATCCTCACTGCCATCGAGTATGTTCCTCTCAGAGGGACCCTACGGTTTCCAAAGCTGTAAACATTTAAGGAAATGGACAGCCTCCTACCTCTCCCTCAGACTGGGTAGGGGGATTGAACCCTGGATCTTGTGGTTAGCAGTTCAATACTTACCTGACAGTGCAACCAGGGCCCCTTCCATGTATTTACTCACTTCTGTGATCTTTCAGCTGTGCTGCCCAAACAGTCGCCACAAACCACATGTGGCCATTTAATGAAAATTACCTAAAGGAAAAGATCCAGCTCTTCGATCAAACTAGCCACAGTCCCCACACTCAATGGCCACATGGGGCTAGTGGTTAGCACACTGGATGAAGTAAACATAGAACACTCTATCACCACAGACCAGGCTATTGAGCAAGCCTATTCTAGGGGGATGTTTAGAGCCTCAACTCTGGGAACAGAGTTTGGGATGTAGTAATGTTTAATGTGGTGGAATGAATGCTAAGTTCACGAGAGTCAGGTTTTCAAGTGCCTGCTGATGAGCCCATGCCTCCTCCGGTAGAAGGTTGCGGGCCTTCCTCAGGACTCGCCCCAGGTGCAATTCATCCCTTCACTCATGCAGTGTATTCTCATTGAGTCTGACTGCGGACAAGACCCTGGGGACGACCTTAAGAACAAGGTTGCAACTCGAGTGGCAATGTTTTAACATGTTCACACTATAAATACAGCATTTCATAAATAATTTTGCCTTAGAAAATTTTGAAAAAGAGACACATTAATGGGAGAGATTTTGTGCAAAAAAAATTCAAAGGGAAGGGTTTAATTTAAAATCTTACCTTTTCTGATTGTGGGTCACTTTATTGCATTTTATTCTTGGGTGTGAGACCTGCAAAGGAGGTCCCATAGCACCATAATTAATGCTGTATAGTATTTAGTATTTTAAGTTTTGCATACCATACACCATGAATTATTTTAAGTTTTTTTACCCATTAACTATTTTGATAAGTGGATGACATCAATATTTTGACATGTTGGAGACTTCAATTTCATTTTTTAATGTACAGTGGCTTTAAGGTTAATACACAGAGTCACTGCACCAAAAATAATTGGTTGACATTCGAGAACAGATGGTATACCAGGAAGTACATAATCTTAAAGTAACAGGAAGGAAGGAAAGGCCAATGCTATTGAAAGAAGACATTCAAGCTGCAATAAAGGCCTTGGTAAAAAGAAAAATAAAAAGGCTCGGAGATTGATGGAATAGCAGCTGTGACGTTTCAGGAAATGAATGCAACTTAGCCAATGGACTAGAACAGTAGTTCTCAACCTGTGGGTCATGACCCCTTTGGGGGTTGAATTACCCTTTCACAGGGGTCACCTGACTCATAACAGTAGCAAAATTACAGTTATTAAGTAGCAATGAAAATAATTTTATGGTTGGGGGTAACCACAACATGAAGACCTGTATTAAAGGGTTGTGACAATAGGAAGGTTGAGAACCACTAGGCAGCAGATGGACATTGGACCTCCACACAAGTTGTTACTCAATGAAAGAACACTTGGTTCTATTAAATTGGCATTCCATGATGCACACCTTCCCAACCCAATCACTGAACACAAATGTGTTCATAAGCAAATGTGAAGAAATCTGATGGTGCT